TACTTTTTTCGGTGTTTATTTTAAAATTCAATTTTCGGTTTTTTTCGGCGTATATTTATGCCCGCAAAAATTTATCGGCTTTTTTCGGTGAATATAAAATAAACACCAACGGACACCGGATCAGATGATCCTTGTACGTAGCTCTGATATTTGTGATCACTCAAAGAATAACGGAACAGATACGTTGAAAAAGAAATGGACACTTCATTTGGCAAATGTGTGCAACTGTAGAAGAAACAAGAAAAAAACGCAGAAGTACAAACAAGTCAGATATGAAGCCTATGCCCCCAAAACATGCAACCTCACCTTCTGTACATCAGGAATACGTGATCTCATTATAGTACACACAAACATGTACTTCCCCAGGTTCTCCTTCTTGATCCACACTATTTCTTTCCTGTTAATATATGACACTGAGCTTCGAGAACGCCCTCTCAACGCTAGCACTGGACGCTGGCAGGCTGAGGAGATGACGCGCTGCCTGAGCCAAAATCGCCGAAAGAGACGCGGTGCGACGTTTTGAAGCACAATACAACATGCAGAGCTTGCATCTAGTCAGTCTTCCTCACAACGAGTTTGAAAACACGCTCGCCACGGCTCTGCGGTACGACTGGACGGTCAAAGTGACATTTTCCGGTTAAAACTGAATTTAAAAAAATGGATTCGACGAAATTTTATCGGTTTTTATCGGTTTAAATCGAAACTGCCGAACCTAAAAACTGACCTTTTCCGGTTAAAACCGAATTTCCAAAAATGGATTCGGCGTACTTTTATCGGTTTTTATCGGTTTAAACCGAAAACTCCGAACCCTAGCTATATGTCAGGTGAGGTAACGACAGCGCAGCGTCCCTCCACTGCGACAGCCAACGACCATGAACTCTAAGGCGCCAGTTACCGAAAACGGGCGAAAATGAAACCCACTTTCCCATTGGAAATTTCAGAAAATCACTTATACCTTTTCAATTAGGTAACAGTTAATTCTGAAACTTTAGCATCTGGTTCTGAGCTCTAGCACTTCATGGGGGCAGAGAATGAGCGTTCGGTAATGCATAGTTTAATTTTGCAATAAAACACTTCTTTTTTTTTCTTTACTTTTTTTTTTTTGGGGGGGGGGGGGGGGGGGGGGGAGGGGGGCACGCTGTACATTTTTGTATTTCCGAAAGTTGAAAGGTGTTCTAATATCTTTTGAGCAGCATGCCAGCTACTGTCATATCGTTTTCAATCGATTTCCACGTTGAACTTTATCGCAACCAAAGACGGAGCGTCCGCTCCTGTTGTGACACTATACTAGCTGTCGTAGTTACTATAACCGAAGGGGGCATTGTTAATTGTCTCGAGCTTTTGGAAAATCGGAAGGCGCGCAACCCGTTTGGTGCCCTCCTCTCTGCGTCTTCGAAAGCAGAGAGAGGGAAGTGACAAAAAGTACAGGCGCGCACAGATACGCTATATCAGCTCGCGTGTACTTCGACAGTTTTTTTTTTTTTTTTTAGAAGTAAACATCTTGTCTTAGTTTGACGTGAGCGTGTTGGTGAAGTTAAACAAAACCAGAAAGAATCAACATAGGGACGGACCGAACAGCACAGCACCTCTTTCGTGCTGTTCTGTCCTTCCCTATGTTGGTAGGTGCTGTTCTGGTCCGTCACTATGTTTATTCTTTCTGTTTTAATTAAAAATTTTGACCTCGGGAGTTTGCCTAATATTGTTTGCACCGAGAGTATATCAGTGATGCTTGCTCCTTCGTTGTGGGCGAGCCACACACACACACACGCACACACAAAAAACAACAACCAACAAACCAATCAATGTGTTCGGCAACGTGAAGAAAGACTGAGCATCTGAAGGCTGCCAGGCCCTGCGTTTTTTAAGTGCAGGTGTCAATGCGATTCCTGAATAAGTAAGGAAATTACTTCACAGGTGGTAAAATATGAAAATATTATCTTGTAACTGATTACGTACAAATCTGTGGGATAGCACTAGTGCATATTTCTGTTAACCGAAGGCACTCACGTGTCCAAGCACTGGGCAGTTTCGTATTGAGAACGTTTTGTGCCGTCTGCTTGCCTGGAGGCGCGGTAACGAAACGCAAAGACAAAAAGGGTCAGCATGAGCGCAAAATCGAGCGCGAGCATGTAGAAGACCAAAATATACCAGAAGTAGGTTTAGCATAGTTGAGACAAATACGTGAATTATAACAAACAAATAATAATAAAAAAAAAACGCTAGTGAAGATTTTGTTTGGCGGAAAGTTATTTGTTTTGTTTGTTTGGTGTCAACCAAAAAAAAAGGAATAGCCCCCCCTCCCCCCTTTTTTTTTTGTTCTACTCGATGTTTGAGTGGCGTTTCTAAGTTCGTCTTTGGATTAGTTTTCTTTTCGTCATACACATTCCGTTCATCGCTGAGCTGACAGAGCGGTGGAAGCTATACGTGCTCGTAACCAGTTCTACGTCTCTCTGGCGTCACGTGACGGTCCCATTGGTCATACAAACACTGTCTGCAGACATGTTCGAAACATGCGTGAAGCGCAGCGAATATGCTTCGGGCGTGTCCGCAAGTGATTCTGCCGTAGTGTCAACAGCGAACAGCGCGTGTCTTTTGTATGTTGTACGAGCCGTGCGTTGCCTCGTTTGCAGGCGTGGTCGGACGTCTCCAGGGACGCCAAAGATCTCGTTCGGCAGCTGCTCCAACGGGACGCGTGCAGTCGCCCGACGGCTGCCCAGGCCCTGGGACACCCGTGGCTCGCCCGTCGAGGCACGCCGTCGCCACAAAGTGGCTACCTGCTCGCGCGCCTGGGCTGCAACGACAGCGGGGGCTCGGCGAGCACGGACAACAGCCGCCGGTCCACGGCGTCCTCCATGAGGTCGGGACGATCGGTGCGGTCGCTGCTGGCCAGCCCGCGTCGTGTGCATCCCACGCAGCTTGAAGCGCTTCACCAGGACCCTGAAGTGGTTGGCTTCTTGGCGTCGCCGTCCGCCGAACAGCCGCGAGCACCGCCCACGACTCCGCGAGCCCCTGGACCGCGCAACAGTGCCAAGACGACCGAGAGGCCGGGCCCCACGCTCGAGCGGACGACTGAAATGCAAGGACCGAAGACGCAGCAAACGACTGTGCAATAGAGACGACCGGAACAGCCGGCTGAACTCTAGTAGCCGACTGAGTGTTATTTAACAAAGGCTCTGCCGAGCGTGCGACTGAAATGCAAGGACCGAAGACGCAGCAAACGACTGTGCAATAGAGACGACCGGAACAGCCGGCTGAACTCTAGTAGCCGACTGAGTGTTATTTAACAAAGGCTCTGCCGAGCGTGCGACTGAAATGCAAGGACCGAAGACGCAGCAAACGACTGTGCAATAGAGACGACCGGAGCAGCCGGCTGAACTCTAGTAGCCGACTGAGTGTTATTTAACAAAGGCTCTGCCGAGCGTGCGACTGAAATGCAAGGACCGAAGACGCAGCAAACGACTGTGCAATAGAGACGACCGGAACAGCCGGCTGAACTCTAGTAGCCGACTGAGTGTTATTTAACAAAGGCTCTGCCGAGCGTGCGACTGAAATGCAAGGACCGAAGACGCAGCAAACGACTGTGCAATAGAGACGACCGGAGCAGCCGGCTGAACTCTAGTAGCCGACTGAGTGTTATTTAACAAAGGCTCTGCCGAGCGTGCGACTGAAATGCAAGGACCGAAGACGCAGCAAACGACTGTGCAGTAGAGACGACCGGAACAGCCGGCTGAACTCTAGTAGCCGACTGAGTGTTATTTAACAAAGGCTCTGCCGAGCGTGCGACTGAAATGCAAGGACCGAAGACGCAGCAAACGACTGTGCAATAGAGACGACCGGAACAGCCGGCTGAACTCTAGTAGCCGACTGAGTGTTATTTAACAAAGGCTCTGCCGAGCGTGCGACTGAAATGCAAGGACCGAAGACGCAGCAAACGACTGTGCAATAGAGACGACCGGAACAGCCGGCTGAACTCTAGTAGCCGACTGAGTGTTATTTAACAAAGGCTCTGCCGAGCGTGCGACTGAAATGCAAGGACCGAAGACGCAGCAAACGACTGTGCAATAGAGACGACCGGAACAGCCGGCTGAACTCTAGTAGCCGACTGAGTGTTATTTAACAAAGGCTCTGCCGAGCGTGCGACTGAAATGCAAGGACCGAAGACGCAGCAAACGACTGTGCAATAGAGACGACCGGAGCAGCCGGCTGAACTCTAGTAGCCGACTGAGTGTTATTTAACAAAGGCTCTGCCGAGCGTGCGACTGAAATGCAAGGACCGAAGACGCAGCAAACGACTGTGCAGTAGAGACGACCGGAACAGCCAGTGGAGCTCCACTAGCCGACAGAGTTTTATTTAACTTCTTTGTACAGTATGTAGACGACGTTTCATAGTAGACAACGATGGCAATAACAAGACTGCGAGAAGCGGAGCTTAAAAGACCGGTGAGTTTTTTTTGTTTTTTTTCGATTTGCTACAGTTCAAATAAGCTAAAGTCGTCTCCAGCCTTGTTTTATTTTTCTGTGTGCGCGCGTGTGTGCGCTTGTGTGTGCTTGCATGTGTGTGTGTGCGCGTGGGGGGGGGGGGGGGGGTTGAGGAGGGGAAAGGGCATCTCGACACCGCAAGTGTGCGCACTACAGACCGTTTTCGTGTGACGATTGCCATGTTAAAATATGACGTAGTTGGGGCGACAAGAACTAAAGTAACAATTAAAAGGTTAAAAGACGCGAACAAACAGGACGAAAAAAGAGACACGTACGACACGGACAGGCGCCACTTGCATGTGTGTGTGGCGCCTGTCCGTGTCGTACGTGTCACTTTTTTCGTCCTGTTTGTTCGCGCCTTTTAACCTTTTAATCGATATGAACCAACCAGCCCCAACCAAAGTTTTATTAAAGTAACAAATTCGAGCATACCTTCAAAAAAAAAAAAATTCTAGCCAAGAAAAAAGTACAACTATTGACACGAACCCCTTGAATTCTAACACCCTCCAGTCGGCAAATTAGGTTTTATTTTTTTTTTTTTAATTTAAATTCTAGGTCAGTATTCCAACATGGCAGCCGCCACGAGAAAAACGGTCTACCTCCTTTCACTGCTAACGGCGGTGGAAGGATAACCACGTGCTCGCCGGACTAATCAATCACCCGCCTTTCATCGCCCGACGTAAACTGCGTTTCTTGCAAGTACCCATTATTGTTTGGGCGAAAGTATTCGCAACGCGCGGTCCTCGTGAGTTCACGGAAGAACCTTGTTCCAAATACTGTAGTTCTGCAGCATCGCGCCTGAAAGCTGCTATGGATTACCAAGTCCGAATGGAACCGCTTTCCCGCAACGATTCCGTTAGAATTGCGACTGTCAGTCATTTTTATTAATCTTCGACCGCTCACGTGTTTACTTCATTTTTATGGTAGACTCGTTGATATTCTTTGTTTTTACAGCATGAAATGCTTTGGAACGCTACCCCCAATTCCCGAAATTTTTGTCCGTCCGTGCGTTTCCCTCTAAATTTAGCGGGGAAATTGGTGTGACGGGACCTATACACGAATTCAGTTTCTCAGCCAAATTTAGCGCAAAAATTGACTGTCCGTGACCTGTCGTCACGGGACATAAGACCAGTTCAGTTTTCCCGCTAAATTTGGCGAAAAAATGGCGTCACGTGACCCATACGCCGATTCAGTTTCCCCGCATATTTTGGCGCGAAAGTGGCGTCACGTGACGTCACCTGACGCGTGACGGGATTTAGACACCTAGGGGAATTGGATGGCACGTGACCTCTACGTCGGCGATCAGTTTCCCCGCTAAATTTAGTTGGTAAATATACGTTGGCATGACACATCAATTCCCCAATAATGCATTTCACGCATCATAGGACTTTAAACGTAAAGGTCGCTGCCATTTCGTTTTATTTTTTGTCCCTCCTTTTCCCTAATTCCTGAGGGCCAATTTTTGCGTGAGATCAATAAGTATTGGAACGAATATTCAAAACGTGGCTTTGACCAATCGGATAGCGTAAATCATGTACTTCCGGGCCAAAGGAAAGGGGGAAAAAAAAGTAAATAAAAATTATTTTGTCAAGGTTTTTGCCGCGAAGCCTCAGCTTGCATTTTGAAGTGTGCTAGGACCTTTATTGGCGACAGACCACGGTTTGGGTTTGAGTGTGACCGAACCTGACTACCATTCGTGCTGTTATAATATCCATGGAAACTCGTCAAAATGCAGTGAATGTTCTCATTGGAAGCGCGAGCCGAATTGTAATTTTTTTGTTTGTTTTTGTTTTGTTTTTCAGGTTTACAGTTGGACTATGGAATCTGGCCGCGAGCTGCAATTTGGTTCCTTGGGGTGTACAAATGTCTAGTTGTTTTTATCCAGTGACCTTAGGTACAGGAGTAAAATTCCTGTATTTGTGCTATTTATTAAGACGACGCTTTGCAGCTGTGGACTTTCTCGACGGAGCCCAAGTGTCGGCCATATATATGTTGCGAATGTTTTCTGTCCATTTTGATGCCCGCCCTTTTAATGTCAGGAAGTACAGATATTTTTTGCTTTCCTTTTTTGTACAAAATGTCGAAGTTACAAGTCGTTTAAGCTTGCTCCTTCGCAAAACCTGTTTTTATATAATTGGTATACACTTTTTGTCGCATGTCGTTGGAATGACTCTATGTACAATAATAAATAAGGACATCTACACTTTTAAAAGAAAGAGAAATATAAAAAAAAAAGGCAAATGCCATTATTGTCCACGTTCCAAAAAAAGAAAGAAGTGTTGTTTTCTTGGTTATTTAAATGTACGCCCGTTCAGTCTCTGGGCTGTTATTTTGGAGAATGTATTGTATGCTCAGAAAAAAAAAAAAAAAACGCAGCACAACAATAACATCGTTTCTAGGTATCATGAATACTTTAATAGTCCAATTTCACCGATGTTCCAGTATGCGTGGGGTTGTCGCCGTCTTTATCTCAGAACCACTGTAGCGTCATTTTGGTCGTATTTGGGATGCTTTATGTCTAAGTCTTAAGACTTACACACGCCGGTGTACCAAATAACATCGAACAAGGCTGTGCACGCGCAACAGCCGACCCTGTGGCAGAAAAGGACTAATTGTTTTTAAAAATCGCACCCCTTAGCGGTGAATCCCTAGAGCCGAATAATATTCAAACGCACGGTGAAATTGGCCTCCTGGGCCCAAGCACTTGTGGTCTCAATGCAAATAAGTGGCGAAAGGATTCGCATGGCATCAGAATTCAAATGCCTTCTAATTGCTGAGACATGGTAGTGCTCTGTGTTGGGCGGGATCCAGGCGTTGGACGGTTTCGACAGAACACACCTCGTCGGTTGTGATTAAGTCCTGACTGCAAGGAATTCAGCCCTTGGTTCTGCTGCTGTGGCTCCCGTGGAATCGGCAGTGTTCCTTTCTCGAGCAGGCATAGGCGTTTGCAAGCAGCCACGATTCAAAAGCTCGTCTAACCACGATGGATGAATAATTAGTTAGACTTAGGCTAGGTGGCGCAAGCTACCGCCCGTTAGAAAGGGTACACCAATTTACATCCATTCATTCATCCATCCGTGTTTGCATGCCAGTCTGGCAACCGTGAGCTTTAAGGAGGCCAACGGTCACTGTATGAACACCACCTAAAATGGTCCAAGCCCGTGCGCTAGAATTTTGACGTCATCACTGAGATCGAGCGAAGACACGGATTGGATACGAGTGCTCGGTTGGGCCTCGCGTCAAATCAGCGGGTCGAAGGACGCTCGCTATCGGGCTCAGGTCCACTTGCTGACTTGGCACCATTCGACTGTGATGACAATCCATGGAGGAAGAGCGGGGCGTTCGGAGGCCTTCGTTATTTTAAGATGGTGTTGGCAAGGCATGACTATCAGACGATCTACACACGCCAGCAGCAAGGTTGCGGCGCCCAGAGGCTGTACTGGCAAACGTCAATATGTCTGTTTACGTACACGCAGTAGGACGTGCATTCCAGAGGTGCCAACCACAGGTGCCGGCCAAAACACGAGCAGTATGCGGTGTCTTTATAGTTGTCAATGCCGCCTCCTTACTAAATTGAATAAACATTTCCAGGTAAGTAACACACATCTCGTACTTTTTTGTTCATTAAATAACAATCAATGTTACTAACCAAGAGCTTGACGTCGATAAAAAGATATGCACATTCACTTTTGTCCTCTCGGATAGTAGTGTGGCGACATAGGCTGAGGCAAGCCCAACAGCAAGCCAGGCCTGCTCAGGAGGCCACGCGCCTGCCCAAAAGGGGCGAAAGAAGAAAAGGAAAGAAACCCTAGACCGAGGGGGTGCTTCGAAGACAGTCGTCCTTTGAATTCGTCCCGTTGAATATTTCAACTCCGACAAATTGGTGACCCGGACGAACGACTCCTTCACGATTCTTCACCCTCTTCAATGATGGATTTGGCTAACGGTGAATCGCCTGCGGCGGAAGCAATTCCATCGGGATCTTTAGCGGCATTCCAAATCAAGCTGCCGGCATTTTGGGCAAAGAACGCTACGGTTTGGTTTGCGCAGGTTGAGGCGCAATTCCAACTCCATCACATCACCTCACAAACAACGAAGTACCTCCATGTAGTCTCGTCGCTGCCAGCAGAGCTTGCCGACGAGCTAGAAGACATCCTCGCAGCTCCGGCTACATCGAACCAGTACGACCTTCTTAAGGCAGCCATTCTAGCCCGGAAGACCCCGTAAGAGCGCAGCCGACTTCAACATCTGCTCAACATGGAGGAGCTCGGCGATCAACGTCCCTCTCAGCTACTGCGCCCGATGCGGCAACTTATGGGTGACGTGACTACCGACGCCGATACATCGCTCCTCCGTGAGCTATTTTTGCAGCGTTTGCCACACAGCATGGTACCCATTCTGGCAGCGGCCGAGGACATGCCTTTGGATCAATTGGCGAACTTGGCAGATCGGGTGAGAGAGTACTCCGCTCCCACAATTCCCGCCACGTCCAGACACTCAAACCGAGTGGCAAGCCCTCCGTCTCGATCTACAGAAAATAATCTGGAGACTCGACTCAGCCGTTTGGAACAAGCCATTCAAGATCTACAACTGTCTCGCCGACCAAGGCGCATTTCCCGTCCCCGGGCAAGATCCCGCCGCTCTTCTTCAGACCCTGTTACCTCGAACGCCAGTTTCTGCTGGTATCATCAGATGTTCGGACAAGAAGCGCGCAAGTGTTCTCAGCCTTGCTCATGGCAGGGAAACTAGAAAACCGGGCACTGGCAGCGGCAGGTGATTCCGGGTTACACGAAAGCCGCCTTTTTTTATGTACTGGATCGCGTCACGCGACAACGCTTTCTTGTTGACACCGGCGCAGAAGTGAGCGTCCTGCCAGTATCACCTTCAGAAAAACGCCGGTTGTCCCAGACCTCACCTCTTCGAGCCGTAAACTGTTCATCCATCGCTACGTATGGCCAACGCTCGCTGACCATCGACTTGGGCCTACGCCGAACGTTCCGATGGATTTTTATTGTTGCGGATATCAGCATTGCAATCCTGGGGGCCGACTTTCTGAGTCACTTCAACCTAAGTGTTGACATGCATTCTCACCGCCTTGTTGACACTATGACCCGGTTGTCCATTCATGGCATCACCTCCTACTACGTTGTGTCCGAAGTCCGCCCAGCGCCCCCTACATCCAAGTTTGAGGAGCTCCTGAGTAAATATTCGGACTTAACAAAGCCTACAAACCGGTCAAGCACGCTGTCACACACCATATTGTGACCAACGGACCTCCAGTATTTGCAAGACCACGTCGTCTCACGAGAGAACGCCTGACCGTGGCCCGACGGGAGTTCGATCATATGCTGCAGCTTGGCATAATTCGCCCGTCTGCAAGCAATTGGTCGTCCCCCCTCCATCTCGTCCCAAAAGCAACCGCTGGCGACTGGCGCCCCTGTGGGGACTATCGCGCACTTAATGCCCACACCGTGCCCGACCGGTACCCTCTTCCACATATACAAGATTTTACAGCAAATCTTGCAGGTAAGAGTATTTACAGCAAGATAGATTTGGTCAAGGCTTATCATCAGATTCCCGTTGAACCCTCTGACATTCCGAAGACGGCCATCACCACTCCTTTTGGGCTTTTCGAATATGTACGGATGCCATTTGAGTTGCGCAATGCAGCGCAAACATTTCAACGCTTTATCAATGAAGTGACAAGAGGCCTCGACTTCGTTTTCGCCTACCTTGACGATCTCCTCGTCGCGAGCACTTCCATGGACAAACATGAACAACATCTCAAGCTCCTTTTCGACCGCCTTCAGTCCTTCGGCTTAATCATCAATCCAGGCAAGTGCGTATTCGGAGCCTCCGCAGTCGACTTTCTTGGCCATCATGTAACCGCCGCCGGTGTCACACCATTGGAGGACAAGGTTCAAGCGGTGCGTAATTTCCCGCAACCTACATCACTGGGCAAGCTCCGCGAGTTCCTTGGCCTTCTCAATTTTCACCGACGCTTCATTCCTGACTGCGCTCGTATTCTCCAACCCCTCACAGACCTCCTCAGAACAAGAAAAGGTCCCAATACAACCGTGGAGTGGTCAGCCGAAGCAGCGTCTGCTTTCTCGAGCGCGAAGAAAGCCCTGGTTGACGCTACTCTCCTCGTCCACCCGGAAACTGACGCTCCCATACGACTAATGACAGATGCCTCAAATATTGCTGTTGGTGCTGTCCTGCAACAATACACTGAGGGAGTATGGCGCCCGCTCGGATTTTTCTCCCAGAAGTTAAAACCAGCTGAGTCAAGGTATAGCACCTTTGGACGCGAATTGCTGGCCATCTTCCTGAGTGTAAAACATTTCCGTCACAACCTGGAAGGCACTACGTTTTACATACTAACAGACCATAAGCCTCCCACCTTCGCATTCAAAGGAAATCACACAAACTACTCCGCTCGTGAGATAAGACAGCTAGGATTTATCTCTGAACTCACTGTTGACATCCGACACGTGCAAGGATCAGAAAATACCGCTTCGGACGCCCTTTCGAGAGTGGAGACCCTCTCCATCCAACCTGTCACAGTAGATTTTCAAGCGATGGCCCAAGCACAACACAACGATCCTGATCTAGTTGCAGAGCGACAAAAAGAATCCTCACTGCAACTTAGAGATATCCCATTACCACTTGCCTCATCAACTATCACTTGCGATCTATCAACCATCACACCACGCCCTTACGTACCTCTGCTATTCCGGAGAACAGTATTTGAGGCCCTACACAATGCTAGCCATCCGGGAATTCACTCCACACAGCGGCTGGTCACTGCCCGCTATGTATGGCCCAGCGTAAATGCTGACGTCCGTCGGTGTACCAAGAATTGTCTGCAGTGTCAGCGGGTCAAGATCAGCAGACATACAGTAACACCCCTAGTTCATTTCCGGCTCCCTAAAACGAGGTTTGACCACATACATCTCGACCTGGTTGGACCTTTGCCTCCATGCCAAGGTTTGAGATACCTGCTTACCTGCGTAGATAGGTATGTATACCAGATGGCCGGAGGAGATACCACTCCCAGACATTACAGCCGAAACTGTTGCCGATGCCTTTGTAATGCACTGGACTCCTCGTTACGGGTGCCCCTCCACCATCACAACTGAAAGAGGACGACAATTCGAGTGTGCGTTATCCACAGCACTGACCCAACTCCTTGGTGCGCGCCACATCCTGACCACAGCATACCACCCTTCCGCCAACGGGATGGTGGAGCGGCTACACCGTCAACTCAAGG